TTAAAACTAAGGCAAATCAGCGAAGCTTAAAATAAAATCATGAATGTATCGGTCTAAAACGTTTAAATTCGTTAAAAAATGATCGAATCAATCCCGAGAAGGATATCCTTTCCAAGTGGCACTTTTATGGATTTCCAACATGACTTCACTTTATATCAAACTCAAAATAAAATGATCGGATCAATCCCGAGAAGGATATCCTTTCCAAGTGGCGCTTTTATGGATTTCCAAACCCAACATGACTTCAATTTATATCAAACTCAAAATGAAGCTTCAAGAGCTTTCTACGTTTCATAAAATATAGGAGAACAATCCATCGGGAGCTTCCTTCTGTACCTCTAAAAATCATACCATTATCAAAACCCTTCAACTTCAATTTTAATCAAAAGCTCACGGGTAAGACAATAAGGGAGAGGAAAGCCCACGGGTAAGGCAACAACCCAAAACCAAGAATCAAATCCAGCTAAATGAATAGGAAGCTCACGGTTAAGGCATCAACCCAAAATAAAAAAAAATCAAATCCAGCTAAATGAATAGGAAGCTTACGGTTAAGGCATCCAAAAATCGAATGAATTCAGCTAAATGAATATGAAGCTCACGGCTAAGGCATCAACCCGAAACCAAAAATCAAATCCAAAAATCAAATCCAGCTAAATGCAGCTAAATGAATATGAAACTCACGGCTAAGGCAGCAAACCAAAGCCAAAAATCAAATCCAACTAAATGAATATGAACTCACGGCTAAGGCAGTAAACCAAAGCCAAAAACCAAATCCAGCTCAATAAATATGAAGTTCACGGCTAAGGTAATAAGAGAGGGGAGAGCCCACGGGTAAGGCTCACAAAAGGAACGTAATCACCACAAAACCAGCCATCAAACAGCCACCAAACAACATCTATATGGGCCCAATCACCAGCTACTTGAGTGCAAACAGTAATTGCAACACCCAAACAGCTAACTAGAGCAATTAATGACACTTCCAAGCTTCCAAACTTCTCCAAACAATAATTCTGATCCTCCTACAGCCAACAACAACTTCCTATAATTTTGCTACAACAAACTTAACAGTTTAAAAACTCCCAAACAAACTTACGGGCCGAGTCAGGAAAAGGGGCAACCCTAGACCACTACAGAAGCAAACCAAGCTCAAGAAACATTCCAAAACCTCAGACAATATAAATCGTTAAAGGAAACCCGAAACAAGTCCAGAAAAAAGGGCAACCCGAGCCCAAGAAATGTTCCAAAACAATAAAGAATTTCAGCCAGCATAAATCACCAAAAAGGGACCAAAGCAAGTCCAACGTAAGGGACGAACCGAGCCCAGCATATGGGTAAGTCAAGCCCAAGGAATATTCCAAAACGAAAAAAGATTTTAGCCAATATAAATCATTAAAAAGAAACCCAGACTGGACCAAAGAAAGAGAGAAACCGAGCCCAGCACAAGGGGAGCCAACCAAAAAAAATATTTCCAGCGTAAACTTGATTTCAAAAAGAGCTCAAACCAAGCCCACCAAATGGACTAAAATAGGGTCGCAAAAATCAGATTTCATAAAGCCACAACCAAGCCCAAGAAAAGGGCGAATCGAATCCAATACATGGGGCAAAATAGGAAGCATGAAATGAGCTCCAAACGTATGTTTTTACCTCATAAAACATTCTAGAACATATATTTCAGCAAAAGGGGTAGCAATGAGAGCATGAAGTGATTCTCCAAATATAATTTTTCAACTTTAAAAATGATTTCCAGCATATTTTTCATCGAGGGCAGCAAGAAATGCAAGGTGTGAGCCCCAAATATAATTTTCCAGCTCATAAACAGAATTTCCTGCATATATTTTGATGAGGGGCAGCAAGGAATGCAAGATATGAGCCCCCAAATGTAATTTCCAGCATTAAAAAAAAATAACATCCAGCATATATTTCAACAAGGGGCAGCAAGAGAGGTAAGATA